TGCATTTTCATCAAAAATCGGTCATTTTTAGCGKTTTTAATGGCCTATAGCCCATGTATTTTGATCAAAAATGGGTCATTTTTAGCGTTTTTAATGGCCTATAGCCCAGGCATTTTCATCAAAAATCGGTCATTTTTGGCCATTTTGGTGGGCTATAGCMCATGCATTTTTATCAAGATTCGTCGATATTCACGTTTAATTGTTTACCCTGTGTTTTTCAGCATAATGTAGTTGAAATGCAACTCCTGTTGGTAACATGTTTATTAATTACTCAGTAATTGAATAAGTGCAATGGAGTATCTAATTGAGTTTTGTTTGTTTTCTATTATTATTACAAGTTAATCATGTGCATTCAGATGGCGTTTTTTGGTGTCTACTAAGTTGCGACGCTGTACTAAACATTTTTCTACATTGGTTGCATATAAATGGCTTCTCTCCTGTGTGTGTCCTTATATGGTTATTGAGGGTTGTTGCGCCTGCAAAAGAGCGGGAACAATAACCGCATTTAAATGGTTTTTCATTGGTATGTTTGACGACATGAGTACGAAGATCGTTTGGTTGAGCAAACGAGTCTGCGCAGTGGCCACATTTATAAGGTCGATTGGGCATGCCTGGACATACATGGATTTGTAATAATGCTCTTTGGGTAAAAGACCGCTGACATTGACCGCAGTTCCACATACTTCTGTCACTAGCGTCGTCGTCATCGCAAGGAATATCCGGGCCCGCGATGTGTTCGGTCGCTGTACCATGTGGGACATCTGACARTTTGTCTTGATTTCCACCGTGAGTCATTAAATGTTTCACCTCAGGATTTGCTACTAACTGATCGTGTAGTTTCTTTCGTTTTGAAGGTGACATTTGCTTGACAGGATAGTTGGATGACGTGACAGAAGAGCTGTGAGTTACACTGATAGGTATTTTACGGATGGTTCCCTCATTTTTCGACTTTTCGGAGACTGTTTCCATTAAAAGTGTGCTAACAGGTGCTGCTACTACTATGGGATACTTTGTTGTGCAGCTAACAAGAATCGGATGCGTAACATTTGCTGGCTCACAGTGCGTTTCCTTAGTTTGATATTGCGTTACCGGCGTGACCCTTTGGACAGGAGCTTTTGTTGCTGAATGAGAAGCATTAGTTCTCATGTGATGATGATTAGCCAATCCTTGAGGGGCAACCTCTTTAGGTGAATGTTTTGTGACGGTCACTGGAATGGATTGTGTGACATAATGTGCAGATTGTGTGACTGGATGCTGTTCGTTGATTGGCGGCTTTACATTACAAGCCATCATGTCAAACAGTAGCTTGTTGCCTGTTGGAAGAAAGCATCATTGCAGCCAAAGCTACGAAGAAAAGGAAAGCAAGCACATACAATTACAATGAGAGGAAAAGTTTACTGAACAAGACCAACACAATATAAGCAACATTTACACAAACAAAGCACAACCCAAACTTGGAAGGAAGACACATAGAAGGAGGTAGTCCGACCACGGATGGTGTAAAGGAGAKAAATACAAGGATGTAGTCTGGCCAGGAAGGGTGTAGTGCAAGGAGGGTAATCTGACTAGGAAGTGAGTATGGAGGATACGTACAAGAGGATAGTCTGACCAGGAAGGGGGCAACCTGACTATGAACTGTGTAAGGAGGATAAGCCAGGAAGGGTGTAGTGCAAGGAGGGTAATCTGACTAGGAAGTGAGTATGGAGGATACGTACAAGAGGATAGTCTGACCAGGAAGGGGGCAACCTGACTATGAACTGTGTAAGGAGGATAAGTACAAAAATGTAGTCTGACCAGGAAGTGTGTATGGAGGATACGTACAAGAGGATAGTCTGACCAGGAAGGGGGTTACCTGACTATGAAATGTGTAAGGAGGATAAGTACAAAAATGTAGTCTGACCAGGAAGTGTGTATGGAGGATACGTACAAGAGGATAGTCTGACCAGGAAGGGGGTTACCTGACTATGAAATGTGTAAGGAGGATAAGTACAAAAATGTAGTCTGACCAGGAAGTGTGTATGGAGGATACGTACAAGAGGATAGTCTGACCAGGAAGGGGGTTACCTGACTATGAAATGTGTAAGGAGGATAAGTACAAAAATGTAGTCTGACCAGGAAGTGTGTATGGAGGATACGTACAAGAGGATAGTCTGACCAGGAAGGGGGTTACCTGACTATGAAATGTGTAAGGAGGATAAGTACAAAAATGTAGTCTGACCAGGAAGTGTGTAAGGAGGATACGTACAAGAGGATAGTCTGACCAGTCAGGCTGTAAGGAGGATGTGTTTGACAGCGATTGGTTAMATCTTACCATTAGGATCCACCACAGCCATGTCTTGTATATTGAGTGGTAAACCCATATGTTGCTGATATTTATCGTCGTACCATACTAACAGTTCCTGTTGCACTTGGATGTTTCTGAAAGCGCGATARTAGATGTTTCCGCAGTATTGGAATGCATATAGGTTCTGCTCATCGCGATGGCGGGCGCACCGAATGAATCTCATCCAACTTGAGGTGTTTTCGTCACTGGCGTCAAGATAACACACTAATCGACCTTCTTGGAAGATCTGAAAGCATAAAATTTCGATAGTATAACATAGCTTGTATCTCTTTGCATTTCAGTTAAGTTCGAGAAATACTACCTCCCACATATAGCTCGTATCCATCTCCTTCGTGACGTCCTCGGGACGTATTCGTCTACCTTCGTAAGGGCCGATCCATGTTCCGATTGGAATATGCTGTTTTGCACTAACACCGTATCCTGCCCCAGGAATACCTGACCAGCATAGTTGAACTTCATCAGGAAATGACGATACAGCGTAAGAAAATTGAAGTTCTTTGGACTTGTTTTTCCTTGCAAAGACGGATGGTCCGTGGTCTTTACATTCTGCTTTGGGATGTCCACGACATGTTTCGCATGAAACTAAACATCAAAATTACTCATGAATAAATGTTACCAAGCAGTTTTACTTTTTCCTGAAGTTTCTGTCGACTATTTTTACTTCCACTTTCTATTTTTACTTTAACGAAAATATTTTCATTGTCTATCAGACCTATCGATTTGGTTAGCATTTCTCAGACAAAAACAGGAAGGAAAAAGAGATAATTAAGCGATTATTTACGTTAATCAAATRCTGGATGCCGAGCGACACAAGTTGATGAGCGTTTTTATCTGTGGCTAACAGTTTGAAAGGGCGAGTTTAGTTAGTTTAGTGACGTAATAGCAGTTCAGTTGTATTGTCGTATCTGCTATTTCTTTCTAATCCCAATAGTCTGCATTGCTAACTAGTTTCTTCAAGTTCCTCCGGCCAAAAACATTCAAATAAAATTTTCCACAAATTGAAATCACTCAAACACCACGTTATCCATTTGACCGCAAAACGTCGCAAACAGAATAATTACTATCAGCCGGTAACCAGCGGTCATACCGAAAATATRTTACACAGATAAAATAAGTAATTTCTGAAATAGACACCGTCAATCAAGTAGTAAATTCAATATAATGAAAAAGAAATTAAATGAAGTTTATTTAGTAAAACCGCTAATTCTGGTGCCGGACTAACACACTTAACCTTAGTATTGACCAGCATTTTCAGTATCATATACCTAAGGGGGGGTGTCTGGAGCGGGACCTTTGAAGGTAGTTTATTATCCGATATTTATTTCCTGTATAGAGTGACCTAGAATTGAACTCATCTTGAAAACCTGATCTTTTTTWTCATGACTGCACGAAACGATGGCACAAAACAAAACATTGCGCATGCGCGAGACACTCGAAGGGTCTTAGAGAATTAAGAGAAATATGGCACGCTTTTTGTAAGAATCCCTTGTATTGTGCATGTATTTAGGTTATTGGTGTGCTAGTCTTTCTTTGTGTATGCCCTCTATTCTGTGTTTTTGGATTAGTTTGTTGGCTGGACATCAATCATCATTATCACAGTTGAAACAAGACGTTTGTCGGCGCGATATCGGTCGCCTGTTGTAGCATGTTACCAGTGATGAGTGATGTTCAAATCCAGCACGAATGCGATGCATATTCGTTTGTCCATAAATTGGGTCATTGGTAATACAATTTAATTACAAGTTGGATCTCACAATAAAAACAAATTAAGCACAGTTAGAATTGATTGCCCTTTTCTATCAATTAAATTGTTTATCCGTGCTTGTTTTGAGTGCAAAGGAGAGCTTAGGAAAAAGAGATATTAATATTATTCATCTATAAATTGTTGTCATATGACTTTAGCTACTTTAACTACTTTGTGAAAAGCAAATTCAGTATCTGATAGTTTAGCCTAAAACAGAAAGCAGGGACGTCATATCTTTGTGATCTATTACCACATGCGTGAGTAGAGATAACGCCCCAAATCTTCGCGCAATTAAGACTAAAATATGCATAAGAAAGATTGCGCAGATATACTCGTCTTATCGTGGTAGTCCGATAGCGGACTGGAAGGGTCCAGCATGGTTTGAATTCATGAATTGTGTTCTTCATATAATGACAGCAAAGTAATACTCATTGAACGATACCTTGGAAAAAGGTTTGAGCTGCAAGTGTGAAAAGTTTGCTTGTTTTATTTCATCTTTCTGTAACATATAATTAATATACTCGAAATTCAATACCTGGGGCTTCTTAGCACGTTCCAGTCCGAACGTCTTCAATGTGCCTTTCTTCAGTTAGTAAAGTCAAACAAGTTAAGAAGGATTTTTTCACTTATTTCTTTTACCAAGAGCCGTCGATTAGATCAGGTCAGAGTTCAATCGAATAGAAAAAGTAATGTCATGACTTTCAGCTTCTGACGTCTGTATGCTCTTGCACGGCTTTCGATAAATCATGTATTCTTAAAACACACCAAAACGAAACCATTGATTTTTTCATTTCAATTTGCATTCGAGTTGTTGTAATTGGTTTACGCTGCAGACATTGAAGAGTAGTAACGTCGGTAAAAAATCAACTCCTCGCCTTTTCTTTGTGTTCAATTTCCTCCAAAAGAGTTTCTGATTTATTTTCGAAGTAATTTTACAAAAAAGTTGATATTATTCAGCAACGTGATCGTGAACGCAGTTATTGTGATGTCTGGTATACAACTTTCAAAATCCTAAGTGAGGGAAATAGCCCATTCCTTCTTTTTTTATGTAAAATGTAATAATGCAACATGATGAGTTAGAAGATGCTCCACATCAATTCAGATCAGAATCACGAATAAATCAAGAGAAACCCGTCTTGTTCAACCGTCATGTGAGATGTGCAAGAGAAAGTAGAAGGGAAACTAGATTTATTAATACTGGTGACTAGAGAACCAGTTCTTACATACAATAATTTTGATTTGTACCGCGATAAGGTAAAAAGGTAACAAGAAGCCTAAAACTACTATTTCCATCCAAAATTCAGTGTTCGAATCATAATTGTAACTTACCCAAAGTATCTTTATTTTTCAGTACACCTTTCTTGTCCGGGCTGCTAGGCTGGATAATAGTCTTTATGTCCTCTAGCTTGACATTCTCCACTTCCCGCTGGAGATACAGTAACTGGTATAGTTCGTTGTACGAGAAGGAGTAACGTGCTGGAGAAGACTGCGTCGTGGTTCTTACTCGAAGCGGAGATGTCATTAATCTTGCATGATTGACTGAATTGTTTGGCTGAGTTTACAAAAATCAAAAATACTTAAAATTATAACACTGTCCCATTATGTCAATATCAGTGTTGTTTGTTCCCAACTCATATGACGTTTTAATCAGACTTTCAATCATAGAAAGCGCCCTAAAAAATAGGTAGTCTACGTGAACTGATCTGCTGCAAAAATCGAATATGAAGTATCATTCTTCATAGTAGAACTTTTTTTCACGTTCAGTTAACAAACTAATTGAAAAGTGTGGTATATTAAGTAAAACAGTAAAAATCGTAGAACAGCGCACTTCGTTCGATTGGTCTGGTTTTTCCAGTAATGCCATGGTGAACTCAGACTACTAAGCTACTTATAGAGCATGCGTAAAACGAAAAAAGTGGTTACAATCTGGATGTAAAGAAGCAAATAACTGGAAACAAAATGTATGCTCAATGTAACGTGTTAATAATCAAAAACAATCGAGTTAAGAAAACAAGATGATTTGCCGCAGATCTTCAATTTATAATAATATTGCATATGTGAAAGCCTTTATCAAAAACACTGAATTACAGGTTTGGGAATTCATCGATTACCTGTTAAATAAAAAGAAAACTGCAACCGTAACGTTGACTGCGTGATTAGTCTATTTTATGACTTCCGAGTGAAATTAGATCATGTTATCCTAGACAAAGATACGCCTCACTTGTAGCCGTCTGTCTGGTAATGTCCAATGGACTCTACATGTTTATTCAGTTTGCATTCAACCAGTTTGTTACAAAAAGAAAAATCAACATTGCGTTGATGTTACTTTATAATCCAGTTAGAGATTAAATCAACAAATGAAACCTTCTTTACTTTTTCTTTCGATCCGGAAACTATAACAACACGAACAGACTTGTTTATTAACTTAGTTAAGGAATTGAACGATTCCTGTATCCACAATATAACATTGTACCGTTACAGTCAATAGGGTTAATTTAACTGAATCTAAATCATCCAGTACTAATAGGTCAATATCGCAAATATATTACGCAAAATACAAAACGGTATAATACAATCTGGAGTGATTTATTAATTTGTTCTTCAATAAAGAAAACGATCATATCTTACCGTGCAATCAACGTCCATACTTGCGTTTGCTGTAGTCGACTGGTTGTTACGATGTCTATTCAATGAAAGAGTACCGGTTGTTAAACTATACCACAAGGTTACTTGCAGATATCATTTGTATCGTCTTCTGCCMCGCGAATAAGAATTGATCATTGTGGACGTCAATCATCGTCTAGTGTGATGTCAAAACTCAGACCCAGGTTTAATTCAGGCGATTTGCCAAAATAAAGACGACTTTTTGACAATCGCAGACATGTTTTTATGGTGGCCCAGTTCGTGTGTGGCTGTCTTATGGGGACAAGAACTGAAAATATGATGATTACCAAGGACAGGAAATTAGAAATGTGGTGGTTTGGTTTCACTGCCTGTGCATTGTTTAGCCGTTTTATCTGATTTAAACTAACCACTAGTCAGGGGGAGGCTTATATTCAAAACTACTATTACTGGTATTCAACATAATATCAGTGTCAAATTAGTATAAAACAGACAGATTTCGCCCGTGTTTGCAAAGCTCCCTGCAACCAGTCGAGATTAAATGTTAATCTAAAGATTGTCAGCCCGATCCAAGTATTTCTTTCAGTGAATCGATATCACATGCTCGCAGAGAGGACTCTTGACTGAGGTCATGACTTCAGGTTATTGACAGATTCCTGAGTTTTTTGCGTATTTCGGGAAGAGTTGATAACCATCTCCAGATAACTATCGATAATCGTTATCGTCAATCACGCGTTTGTATCAATGAAGAACACAAGTTGGTGTAGCATTTTTGGAGCATATTTCTCTGTATTACAGTTGCTTCATATACCTATCAACAATGCAATGAATTCAAAATAGACAGCCGCGTTCAGTCTACTGTTATATTTATAAATGACCTCTTGAAAGTGCATATATTACTACAATAATACATTTATGGAGTCCCATCTGTCCAAGAAAAAGGAGTCCTAACAATTAAATGTTGCTTCAAACGAGCAGTATTTTAATCCATTTATCAAAGTAATATTATCTTGAAACAACAGCACCTCTGTTAGCAATAGTTTAGGCACAGTCTCTAGTCGGAGAACAGGAAAAATTATTTTTTCGATGATAACAATCTGATAAGACAAAAAGACAATCGTTGGCAGGCGGTCTCCCTGGGGGAGTCGGCTACATACTGTATTCCTAAGAGTACATGATAAAAGTAGTTTGTTCGTTTTTGCACATTTTCTGCTGGGTGTATGTTTCTGATTGAGCGTGTTTTATTGACTCAAATACATGGAATATCCCCTTAGACATTATTTTATTACCATATAAATATATACTGTAGTGAAATTCATAGACAAAATCMCCGAAGAGGCGTTTTGGTTGAATACCCGGTTCATTATTTCCAGTCGACGATAAACAGGAAATACTGACCGAAAATATTGATACATTGTGCCATACTATGGACTGTGAAGTGATTAGTACAACATTGTTTTTACTATACAAAGGTGTTTTGGATAAAATTCTAGTTAAGGATCAAGGATTTTCTTCCGAAGAGGTCGCAGGCCGTAATGATTGTCGGCAAAAGGTTTTGTCAACATAGACATTATCTTGAGAGAGAAAAGGAATAAGGGTTCAAAGACATTTTAGGGTGTAGTTACACTTCTTACATGCCCCCTCGATCGATTCACCGTTTACATATCGATCTCTTTTGGGCAGGTTTAAACATTAACTATGGTTTAAAGGGTTAGTTACGTAAGAAGCTCTATATTGAATCAATATCTTGGACCGTCATTTACAAATCAGCATATGGCTTACTGTTTGACTTGACATAATCTAAATAAATAATTTCTCTTGACGGCGAATKTAGCTTACGCCCAGGTCTCAGAGTATTTCTCAAGAAATCGACCTGTTATGCTCACATTCTTCTGGGTTACGCTGGTGTCTAGCAAGTTGGCCAGCTTGAGCAAAMGATTTTCCGCATTCACAGGTAAAAGGTCTCTTACCCATGTGTGTTCTTATATGATTATTGAGTGTGGTGGCACCAGCGAACGAGCGAGAACAAAACCCGCATTTGAAGGGCTTTTCGCTGGCGTGTGTGTCCACGTGAGATCGGAGTTCTGTTGCAGTATCGAAAGACATTTCACACTGACCGCAACGATAAGGTTTAAAAGGTTCATTTGGACAAACATGGATTTGTAACTGGACACGTTGTGTGAACGTTTTCTGACATTGTCGGCATCGCCACATGCTGATCTCATCGATGTTAGATTCTAACAGTTCCTTACCATCACTGTTACTTTCTTTACTGCTATTACTGCTGTTAGAATCACTTTCAGTCACCTTTATTTCTTCAAATACTTTTGCAGATTCTGGATTTTGATCAAAAAAAWCATCTTCGTCTTTCCACACGTAAACGCCCATTCTAGGAGGAGTGTGTCGTGGTCTTGTTGACTTTGGTCTTCGCGGAGAATCATCCTTCACTAGGTAACCACGCTCCCTTAAATCTTCCTCTGTTACTTCCTTATAAGGGAGGTATGACAGTCGCCATCCACGTCTACGTCCATCAGATGATGGCTTTGCTGCGCGGCTTACATCTGTATCGGTAGAGGGCAATTTGCTGGCCGTACCTGGCTGATTGCTTAGGTCACTTGGTTGATGGGATGGCAATTTGCT